AGAGGAAAATCAGCGAATGCAGAGAGAAAGAGAGGGCTTGGGAACCTGTGAAGTGTGGGCGCTGCTGGGATTTGTAGAGGCTCTGTTCCCCCCATTAGTGTCAATCACCATGCCTGGACCATCACAGCCTTGCAGAAGCTGAGCCGGCCAGATTAGGCCAGAGAACACTTTACGCAGGTTCTCGGCCTGACAGGCTGAAGCAGCGGGCTTTGGAACTGCACAGCTCCCAGCTGGTGAAAATCTTTGCCCTGCCTCTTTCTAGCTAGATGACTCCTCAGAGCCTCAGTTTCCACTTCTGTGTAAAACTGAGGGAGTCATACTGCCCTCGGAGAGTTGTTCTGAATTTTGAATGAGATGGGGTATGCCAAGCACACCGAAAACAAACAGGAGTCGTTTAGTTCGTTTATTTAATACTTACATAGGATTTACTGAGTGCCAAGCACTGTTCTAAACACTTTGCCAACGTCGATGCATTTAATCCTCATAATAACAGTCCCATGAGGTAGTACTAATATTACTACCATTTTGCAGATGGGAAATGAGACACAGAGAAGTTAAGTCACTTGCCCAAGTGTTACGGATTGAATTGCGTTCCCTCAAAATTTTGTGTTGTAAATCCTAATCTTTATACCTCTGGATGTAATCCCATTGGGAATAGGGTTTTCTTTGTTATGTTAATGAGACCATATCAGTGTAGGGGGTATCTTAAGCTAATCCCTTTTGATATATAAAAAGAGCAGATCAGGCACAGACAAGAAAGATAGACGCCATGTGTGGAGATGGCCAAGGAATGCTGGGAAGAACACTAGAGAAGCTGAGACAAGAATTCTACCTCAGAGTGGACAGAGAAAGCCTTCCCCTAGAGTCGGCACCCTGAGTTTGGGCTTCTAGCCTCCTAAATTGTGAGAAAATACATTTCTGTTGGTTAAAGACACCCACTTGTGGTATTTCTACTACAGCAGCTCTAAGGAACCAAGACCCAAGGAAGTGGAAGAATCTCAATGCTAACTCAGGCCGACTGGCACCAGGGCCCATGGTCTTAACTGTTGCTGTGACAGTGATGTTGATAATTGTACTGTTTACTTTCTACCTTGTATGGTGGTCATTCATTCATGCATCCATTCATTCAGGCATTAACTGAATGCCTACTGTGTGCCAGGCACTACTTGGGCATTGGAGACAGAGAGCTGAATTGGGCACAGACCTTGCTCTTCATATGAAAGAAGGAAGCCTACTACCAGCTGGTGAGTTTTATGTTGAATCCATCTCTGTACACCCCCTCCCACCCAAGAGCCTAGCTCGGTGCCTGGGACCTTAGAGAGTATTCGTATATGGCTGCTGGATGAATGAATGAATGAATGAATGATTGAATTAAGGAAATAAAAAAAGTAAGAAATGGATGTTGCCTGGACTAGTGGAGGACCCTGGGGTGCTAGGATCCTGCTCATGCTCCCCTCACTGACCTCCGACCTTGAACCCAGTGGGCATTAGTGTGGAGGGCACTGTGGTCACTGGGGTGGTAACTTCCTCAGAGTCTGTTGCCCTGGAAGGTTGCCCAGGCCAGGCTGCAGGACGGGGGGTCCAAAGCTTCAGGCTCGGCTCTTTTCTCAGCCGCCCCCACCTCCCCCGAGGGGAGCCTCTCTCTGGCCTTGGAATGAAGGTATAAGCCAGCTGGAGAGCTTTTAATTATTTAGAGCTGGAACTGGGAGCAAGGCCTAGAGAAGGTTGCATCACAGCATCCCTGCCTAAACAGAGTGGGCAAAGACACAACACTCAGAGTTGGGGCCTCAGGAGTTTTGGATTTTATTTCTTCCCTGACTACACCAAATTCTAAAAGGACCTCCCAATGCCCTTCTGCTCAGTAGCCATGTCTTGTATTCTATGAGCCCCATTCTACCTCTCCCTCTACTACCAGACCTCAGCTGACTGGCCAATGAGTGGTCACCTGTGCCAGGGGTGCTTTCTACAATCTTGCTGATGACCCCCACTGACCTCCACCTTGGAGGCATTTGGAAGTGTAGGGTGGCATTTTTTTGTCACCAAGACTGTAAATTAGTAAGTGGGGACCAGGGATGCTAAACATCCTATGGTGGGTGGGACATTCTGGAATAACTGATCCCCTGCTTCAAATGCCTATAGTGACCTTGTTGGGAAACAGGGAACGGTACTTGGCCAGTCATCAAACCGACCTGGGGAAAGTGGGTGATACTCAGAGAAAGAGGTGGTAAGAAGTGGCAGAGGCAAAATGGAAGGTTGGTTGGGCTGTGGCCAGTTCAGGGAAGCTTTGATATGCTGAAGTCTCCAGGGAACAGAAATGACAAGGAGCAGAGACCTTCAGTGGGGGCAGTGGGCTTTGGGTAGAGACAAGGGACTGGGGCAGGCATGGCTGAGTCTCATTAGCGCAGAGGTTAGAATTACAATCCCCATGATGTCCAGAGTCACTCTGTGTCTGCCCTTGTGCCTGGTGGTTCATCTTAACCCCCCCTAATGACTTGAGGTTACTTGAGTGAATTCTGCTCCTTACAATCAAGACAGGACGAATGAGGGGTCTGAGGCCCAGAAGCATCACAACAAACTTACTCCCATTTTACAGGAGAGGAATGTGAGGCCCAGGGAGGTTAAGCAACTTGGCCCAAGTGCAAAGCTAAGAGGTGGTGGAGCAGGGCCTCTCATCCTCACCTGTCTGCTCACTCCCCACTGTGCTGAAGGCAGCATGCAGTGGTGGATGGGCATGGTCTGCCCCAGGCTCACCCCCAGCTGTACCAGAGAGCTGCCTGCTCCTGCAGTGCCCCCTTGTTCCTCTCTGTCTCCTCCTAGCATGGACTCCAGGGCTTTGTCACAGCAACCCGGAGTGGCAAGGACTCAGGGAGGTGAGCCAGTGGGATAGATATTTGGGAAGAACATGCTGAGCTGCTGATGCCGGGCTGGCTGGTGCTCCTCAAGGCTGGCCAGCACCCTAGGAGTCCAGGAAGGGATGGGGAGGCTGCTGTGCTGGAGGAGAAGTCCTTGGGTCCTGGAATGTGACTCTCCACCTTTCCCAGCTCTGAACAGAGGCGGAATATTGGGGATCTGGTAGCCCCACAGCACAGCCTCCAGAGACTCTCCAGGATGTAGCATGGCAAGGAGAGCCAGCTGGGGTGGGCAGAAAGCCAGAAAGGATTCAGGAAAGGAGGTGCCGGGTCTCAGCCCCAGCTTCCAGGATCCCTTTCTACCAACATGGCTCCTGGCAGGTCCCCAAGTCTGAGCACTGGATCAGGAGGATCTGGGGTGGCGATGGGCACAGGGTGCAGTGGGTGGGGGTATAGAGGGGAACAAGCAGTGGCGTGCTGGTAAATGTTTAACAACTGGCTCTCAGGAGAAGGGGGAGGCTCTAATTTGTATCAGTTGCTGACTCTGGTGGTGTAAATACTCCCACCAGTTCAACCTACAATGTGGTGTCACTGAGTCTGAAGTTGGGAGGAGAAGAACACAGTCAGCTTTTGCAAGCTGGAGTGAGCCAGCTCCAGGACGCCACTGAAGAACTAACCTGCCTCTGGGCATTTTTTTATGCTGTTCCTCTATGTGAATACCCTTCCAATTTCTCTCCTTGGTGAACTGCTACTGATCCTTCAAGACCCAGTTCAAGATCTGCTTTTCTATAAAGCCTGCCTCCAACTTCCTGCCTTCCACCAGCCCCACTGCAACTAGCGTCTCCTGCTGTGCCCTCTGGCCATCTGTCTGCTGTATTAGAGCTAGACCCAGAGATGAAGAGCACATAGGATGGGAGCTCCTGGAGGGCAGGACCTCAGTCCTAGTCATTTTGAGACACTTAGCACAGGTTCTGGCGCCCAGTAAGGAGTAGTAACAGTGTGCTGAATGAACGAATGAACACAGAGGCCCGAGGGGCTGCAGCAGGGCCAACACAGACTTTGCAGAAAGCTTGCTGACAGCAAGGGGGTGATTAGCAATGCCACACTCACCCCAGACCTGGGATGAATGGAACAGTCCACCCAGAGCCCCAGTGAGGTCCGAGAGCATCTGGCTCCAAGGCAGGGTGGTTGGATGTTGGCTCCCCTTTGGCACAGGGATCTCTTTATTCTGCGGATCTCAGGCCACAGCTAATTATCCTAATAGGTTTAAATGGCCCTAAATGGTCTGGAGTCTGGACAGGACCCATCTGGAGCCTGTAGGTGGGCTGGCCTGGCTGACAGCAAGTGGGCAGACTTCACTGTGGATGTTGCAGGAATCCAAAGTGGCAATTTCTGTGGTTGCACGAGGCCTAAGACATGAGTCGGGAAGCATGGGCTAGGAGCCAAGGGTGACAATAATAACAGCAAATACTTCCATAGCTCTTAGTATGTACCGGGGACTGTTGTCAGCACTTTATTAACTCATTTGGTCATCACAACAATCCTAGGAGGTACGAGCCATTATCACCCCCATTTTACAGAGGAAGAAACTGTAGCCAAAAAGAAAATGAAAACAAAAACCAAACCCATTGCTGTTGAGTCTTGTTCTGACTCATAGCGACCCTACAGGACAGAGTAGAGCTGCCCCATAGGGTTTCCAAGGCTGTAAATTTTTATGGAAGCAGACTGCCACATCTTCCTCCTGCAGAGCAGCTGGTGGGTTCAAACCGCTAACCTTTCAGTTAGCAGCTACGTGCTTAACCACTTCACCACCACGGCTCCTTAGAAATTGCAGCAGGGAGGTTAAATTACTTGTCCAAGGTTACATGCACAGTAAGCAGAGGAGCCTGTGTTCACACTGGCTCCAGAGTCCAGGCTGGTAATCAGAACACAAAGTCCTTTCTCAAACGGGGCAGGTCACTAAGACTTCTTTGTGCCTTTACCTGGACCACATCTACAGCCTTGGGAAGCAGGTCCAGCCTGAATCTCCTCTTGCTGCAACTGCCCCCACCGGGCTGCTCCAGGCCAGGCCACACCAACCTTCTTGCTCAGAGGAAGCCCCAGCCTGGCCCCCCTGCCTCCCTCCCACGCCAGGGCCCAGAGGTACATTACCAGAGTGGTGAAGATGAAGTGGTAGTACTCCGTCATCATGCCCATGGCCATGGCCTGGGAGAAAGCAGACTGTTAGCAACTTGCCGGGAGCACTTGAGGGCCCTCCACCCCAGGTCTCTGGGGACAGGACAGGACAGGGCTGGCCGCTTGGAGTGGGGTGCTCTTTGGGGCCATCTCTGAAGGGTGACAATGGTTGGCTGCAGACAGTGGGTTTCACACTGGAATGTGCCGCCAAATCACCTGGGACATCTTAAAATGTAGATTCCTAGGCCACACCCTCTGAAGATTTCAATCCAGGGAGACCAGGTCAGGTCTAGATGTCTGTCTTTTTTTTTTTTTTCCCCCAAACTTGGGTTCATTTAATATGTGAATTTCCACCACCCTATTCATTACACTGCCTTTCTCCTTTCCTCCTTTTAAAAATAATTTATTCTTTTTTTGTGGTGGTTGAAAATATACACAGCAAAACATAGATTAATTCAACAATTTCTACATGTACAATTCAGTGACATTGATTATATTCTTCAAGTTGTGCAAACATTCTCACCCTCCTTTTCTGAATTGTTCCTCCCCTCTTCACATAAACTCATTGCCCCCTAAGCTTCCTATCTTACCTTTTGAGTTGCTGTTGTCAGATGTCTGCTGTCAGATGTCTGTCTTTTCAACAAGTATCTCTGGGCCACCCACACTTCAAGAGATGCTGACATAGACTCAGCCCTGAGACTGCCTTCTCAAGTACCCTGGACTCGACCCAGCTGAGCTCACTGTCCTGGTTCCAGAGAGCAGTGTGGGGAGCACCGTCACTCCAAACCGGCCCAGCCAGGCCCGTGGGGGGTGTCTGCCCTCAGTCTGAGCCTTCTCCAGAAGGGCAAACACATCCCTGCTTCCCAGACCCTCGGTGATCACATGGCTGCTGGGGAATTATTTTTATACACCATCGTGAAGTCTACATTACATATATTTTATTAGAAGCCTATCACCTATAATAATAATGACTATAATGAGTTTTCTACAGAGTTCCTCAGAATGCTAGGCCCAAAAAGTGCTCTGGGGGCAATGTCACTAGGTCAAGCACACTTTGAAAATGCTGTGCATTCTCCCTGCTCCCGCCCTCACTTGGAGATTCATGATGCAGGGCAGCCGTTGAAGGCTCAGAGAAGGCCTGTAGAAAGCAGACGTGCTTCACTTCATTTATTTAACTCCGTGTCACTGGACCACAGAATCTTCTTCTTTTTTAATCCCACAAGTTTACCGGTCAGACAGCTCTGGGGGTAAATTCTGACTTCACCAGCTATGTATCTAGATGACTGCAGGCCTGTTACTTTCCCCTTGAGCCTCAGTTTCCTCATCTGTGAATTGGGCATGATAACAGTCCCTACCTCCCAGGTTGGTGGTAAATGAGGTGCCACATGTGAGGTGCTTAGCACAGTACCTAGCACGGAGTAACTCCTCAATTAACCAAATTCATGACTGTCACTATTATTTCATTGCACATACACGTGCTGGGAAGAGAAAGGAAGCACTGGGCAAAGCTCGCCGGGAGAGTGAGGGTTAAGGGATTTCTCGGGAGTGTGTGTTTCCTCAACAATGACTTCACAGATGCCCCGTCCCCAGGGCCCCAGGGTAAACTCTTTACCTGCCTCATCTCATTGAATCCTTGCCATAACTTTATCAGGTAGGGGTGATTCGCCCCTTCTACAGAGGGTGGGGCCACTTGCTCTAGGTCACACAACACGCAAGGGCAGGGCAGGATTCAAACTCCCAAATGAGATTTTTAACCATTATGTTGAGGCACTGGTGGTTCAGTGGTACAATGCTCTTCTTCCATGCTGGAGAAGAGGATTTCTTTGATTCTTGCCTAATGCACCTCATAAACAGCCACCACCCATCTATCAGTGGAGGCTTGCATGTTGCTATGTTGCTGAACTGGTTACAGCAGAGCTTCCAGACTAAGATGGACTAGGAAGAAAGGTCTGGCAATCTACTTCCAAAAATAAGCCAGTGAAGACCCTCTGCATCACAATGGTCAGGTCTGCAAATGATCACGGGGATGGCAGGGCCAGGCATCGTTTCTTTCCAGTGTGCACGGGGTCGCCATGAGTTAGGAGTTGACTCACGGCCGCTAACAACAAAGGATCTTGGTATGGGGCTTCCTTTGGGAGAGGACTGAGGCTGCCATTTGGCTTGGGCACCCCACGTTGGGCCCAGCTGGAGGGTGGGACTTGAGCCCCTCGAGGCTTTGCAAATGCCCTCAACCCCTGCTCAGCACTTCTCCCTCTGCACCTTGACCTCGCTGGGATGCCGTGTCAAAGTCTCCTGGACTGCCTTCTCCCATTGCCGGGGACACTTTCTGGGACAATATAATTGCCTTTTGTACAAAGCACTGCCTCAAATCGGAATGTTTCTAGTTTCAGCTGCAACACCCTCCAAGGGGTCTGTGGGCGATTTCGGTGTTTATTTCTTAGGCGGCTGGCAGAGCTTGGCTCTTGTCCCCAGCATGCTGCACTGGCTGTGTCCGGGAACAGAGACCCATCTAGGACTAAGAGCTATTCTCCTCCCCCACAGTCAAGACAGAACTGAGCAGATGGTGCGAGGAACCTCAATAAACCTCCTAGTAATATGAGAGTAATACCAAGGGCCGAGGGCTATGGGGAATTAGTCACTGCAAGAGGCAGTGAGGCGCTCTGGGGGCTGTGCCCAGACTCGAGGCCTCTCTGCTTCCCCAAGTGTCTGCTCCTGCATGGCTTCAGGCCCCTCTCGGCAGCCCCTGCCTCCCACCTGCTTATATGTAGAATGCAAACTAGCATTTACGCAGCGCCCTCTCTGTGCCAGCTTCATTCCATCCTCACACCAACTTGGAGCGTGAAGACCATCGTGTCCGTTTTGCTGCTGGTGAAACTGAGGCTCAGAGAGGAAGAGTGACCGCTCAAGACCATACAGACAGAAAGAGGCAGAGCCAGGTCTGGCAGATGCCACACCTGTATTTGGGAAAGGGGAGAGGGGAGAGGTGGCAGAAAGATCCCAAGCCTCCCACCTGCTGGCCAGCACTCACGCACCTGCTTGAGGATCTGCGCTGCCATGGTGTGGCTGCAGTCGAAGATGATGCGGAATTCCCGGCCTCGCTTCATCTCCTTGAGCAGGGGCCTCGAGTCGTCAGAGTCGATGGGGAGCTGGCGGATCTTCAGGCGGATGTTGTATCTCGATGGGGCCATGATGAGCTCCTGCAGCCGAATGAGCCCTGAGAGCCACAGGACACAAAAGACGTGTGCATTTCTGTATACACAGACTTGCACGCACACAGGTGCATGTGGCCACAGGTCTGCAGACACGTGGACACAGATATGTGGGCCCATATGTACGTGCATGCAGACATGTAGCGGCACAGACACAGCCATGGGTGTCTGAGCACCCTCTGACAAAGGTGTGTGCACACGCATGTCCATGCCTACACAAGCGCACAGATCTGGGAGCAGATACATGCACACATATAACCACATGTTTCTATGCACATGCACGTCAATATAGACAGGGCATGCCCTTGGGCATACAGATGTGTGTAGATAAAGGAGTACACACACAGATTCATGTAAACACATATGTAGATTTAGAAGTAGGTCTAGGCAGAGAGCACATTCCCACTGACCATACCAACCTCCTCCCCCACTCCCCACAACATGGTGAGACACGAGGCATAATCTCCCTTCACATCCCCAGCAAACCTGCCACCAGGGTGAGGGCACAAGTGGCTGGCTCCAGGCTCAACTGTACCGACCTTGGACTAGGTAAAACCAGGTGTTTTTTATGCCCTGCACCCCTAGGGGCAGGTTGCCTGGGCAAACCTTACCCATTCTTCCAGGCTTAATATAACCACCGCCTCCGTGAAGGCTTCCCCTACTGCTCTCCGTGAAGGCTTCCCCTACTGCTCTGTCCAGACAAGGCCTACCCCCTCTCCCCAAACCTGGTGCCTCCTCCTTCACATTGGCTTCCTCTGGCCTCCTGTCACTCCCCGCACCCTGCCACTAGAACCCTGACAACAGGGCTGGGTTCCCATAGCCCCTAGCTCAGGTCCTGGCACTTACGTGGTGCTCAACAAGGATTTCCAAATTGAACTGACTTCCTGTTTATTTCTCCCCACCCTGAAAAAGCCATCCTCCACTCTGGCATTTTGCAAAACCACTTAATCTGGGGACTTCCAGGGAAAACGGAATGTCACTTCTTGGAGACAAATGGCTTGCTTAGGTCTAATTAAGTTCATTTCCGTCCCCATTCCAAGATCCATTCTTGCTGACTCCTCTCCGCGTAGCCTGGGAGCAAGCCTGCCTGCCGCTCTCTACACCCCCGTCTTACGGCAAGGGGTGCTGAGCCAGCACAGGGCCAAGGTCCCAGTAGGTCATCCCCTCCCACCTGCTCTGCCTCCTGCCCATTCTAAGGACTCAGTGTCTGCATACTGGCTGCAGCTGACACCATCTGCATTGTCCATTCAGCCATGTTCCCCTACCAACAGCACTGCATATTTCCTTTGGGGAACAATTCCTCCCCACTCTCAGGCCACATGACCCAGGTGGGATCCATCCCCAGCTCCAGGAGCAAAGCATGTGGTCCCAACCTGACCAATCAGCTCACACATTCCTCTAGGCATAGGTATTGGCTCAGAGATAGATACGTGACACAAGTTGGTTCTATCAGAGTGGCTCCCAGAAACTGTGCTAGAGCAACTGGTAAGAGACACCCCCTTCTCCATTCAATTCAAATAGGGAGGATGCCAGTCTGGGGATCACCATATACAGCACCAGAAGGATTCCAACAGGGCAGAGTCAGAAAGGACGAATAGAAACTAAGGTCTGGTAATACCCATTTGAGCCCCTGGATCAAACAGTACTTGAAGCTAAAATCACAAACTTTCCAGTAAAGGCAGCAAATACATAAATACCTCTCCTTCCCCCCAAAACTTTTTTTTTTTTTTTCCGCTTAAGCTAGTTTGCACTGTATTAAATTTTGCAATCAACTCTTACAGTGTCCTGTATCTGGACAGAGTCCCCCTACTTAGGCAGTCCTCTTCAGAAGCCTTCCAACAGAGTCCCAGTTTCCAGAACAATCTCTGATACACATGCCTGAGTCTGTTCAGTGCCTCATTCTCATTCCTGAGTGCTGGATGTCAGGAAAGCAATCTGATTGGTGCCCATCACTCCACTCTGCTGGAGGCGGACAGACATGTATTCCTGTGACCTAAGCCTCCCAAAGATCTTCCGAACAAGCTTTGCCATGTCTGTGAGCATCACGAACTCCCAGAGCACGGGAAGGTCTCAGACCCAGGGCTCTGGAGCGGTCTGGATCAAAGAGGGGCCCCAGTGCTTCCTAATGCCTGTCTTGATGACGAGGAGAAAAGGACATCAGCTGACCTTAGCAGAGAAGGAAGGGGCCACAGCTGCCTCCAAACACACCCTCCACCCCAACTAATTCCAGAAATGCTTGGTTTAGTTGAGTGGTGCTGCCCATTCACACTTTTATCCTGCAAGACCCTGAGTGTACACTCTACTCATATGTGCTCAGTTTTCAGACTCATGCACAGCATCAGTAGACACATGGTCTTTGGGGACCCAGGACATGAGGACAGGGACAGGCTGGACACTGCAGCAGAGGCCACCAGGGCCTTCTTGTCAACCAAGTGCATCAACCCGTATAACGCATAGTGACCCACATTCTCCAGCAGCAAAATGTCAGACCTTCTTCCCGTCAGTGTTTCCCCAAAAGAGACAAGAGGCTCATCTCGGCACACCCCACCAGAGGATGAGGCTCTCTTTGTTTGCCTGAGATGAGCTCTTCTTCCTGGCTGCTTCCCTAATCAATCTCTCTCAAAATATCTGCAGTGAATCACGGTTGTCGGAATCACACTTTTCACTTACAAAGCACTTCTGCATTCATTACCCTATTTAGCCATCTCCCCAGTCCTAGAAGGCATGCAGAACAGGATTTTCATTCCAATGTTACAGATAAAGAACTTGAGGCCCAGATTGATTAAGTGATCCTCCCAAGGTTTTGCAACATGCTAACAATGGGGTTGAATGTAGAGACTCAATCTTTTGGCTCCTAGGCTGGGGCTCTTTCTTCCACCCCAAGGTTTTTCTAGGGTCCTTCTTTTCCCTCTCAGCATGAGTGTGTCTTTTTGCACATATTCAGGTAGGAAAGTGGAGATTTGGCAACTCCCGGGGGGCAAATGCTGTTGGTTGCCTCCTCAACAGCCTCTCCCCCTAGGATAGATTGCAATGATGATCCCAATTCTTGACCCTTCCCTATATGCACAGTCCACCACCCATCTGTCAGTTTGTTGTACTGTGGTGACTTGTGTGTTGCTATGATGCTGGAAGTTATACCACCAATATTTGAAGTATCAGCAGGGTCACACGCGGTGGACAGATTTCAAGAGAGCTTCCAGACTAAGAGAAACGAGGAAGAAAGGCCTGGGGATCTACTTCCAAAAATTAGTCAGTGAAAAACTTATGGCTCACAACAGAATATGTCCAATATAGTGCTGAAAGATGAGCCCCCTAGGTTGGAAGGCATTACACAATAGCTGCAACAATGGACTTGAGCATACAAATGATCACGAAGATGGTGCAGGACCAGGAAATGTTTCATTCTGTTACACATAAGGTCACCATGAGTCAGAGCCAACTCCATGGCAACTAACAACATCAATATATCCACACCCTTTGCCATGTAACTTTGCAGCGCCTTCCGGTCATGGGGAAGTGGTCTGCTGTACCCGTTGACACTAGATTCAACCACGTGACTTGTTTTAGCTAATAGGATGTTAGCAGGCATGACACAAGCAGACACTTGAAACGCAGTTGTGCACTGGGTTTGTTCTTTTGCATCTCTGCCATCATCATGAGAACTTGTTTGGGCTAGCCTGCTAGAGGATAAGAGACATATGGAGGACAGCCGACTTACACCTGTCTTTCCAGCCAAGGCCAGCCTAAATCAACCAACAGCCGGCCAACTCCCAGGCATGTGACTGAGCTAGCCGAGACCGGAGAAAGAGCCTAGCCACGCCCAGTCTACATTCCCAAGCCTATAGACTTGTGAGCTAAAGAAATGCTTGCTGTTTTAAGGCACTGGGTTTTTTACATAGAATCATTATAGAAACAGCTAACTGATGCACCCTTCCCCCCTTACTAGCATGTCAAAAGACCCACGATTTTGTTTGGGTGGCAATGTGCCAGTCCCAAGAAATGACTCATGATTGGTTGGAAGCAATCAATGGCAATCCCCTTCCCATTTGACAGGGCCTAGAGTAGTAGATATAAACATAAACATCTCTCTCTCTCTCTTTATATATATATATACATATATATATAAAATCTATACCCAGTGGTCTGCTGGAAAGTTCTGAGACAGACTTTTCTTCCTGATAAGAGGTATGAGTCACATTAAGAAAAATCCCTTTGGTTTCCACCTTCTTCCTTCTTGCTTTGGATGTTGTCATGGAAGAATGTGATGTCTGGAGCTGCAGCAACTCTACTGTGACCATGAGGGAAAGCAAAGAGAACTGCAGTGATTCTGGCCCAGCATCCTGATTTTGCTGAGCTGCTAAACCAAGCCTGGAGAGGCCCACCTCTACATTTCTTGTCAAAGAGATAACTAAATGGCTGTTGCTTGAGTGGATTTGAGTTGGGTGTCTGTAATTTTCAGCCAAAACATCCTGATGGACACAACCCCCAAAGCAAACCGTCAAAGCTATATAGTGCTTCCCCACTCCATGGGTTTGACGACCCACAGGTTTTCCTGCACCCTTGAAATATCCTGATTCTGGGAGCATGCCTCTCGGTACCCATTCGTCATCAAGGTTATATTTTGTTCTATTGACTCCAACCCTGAATCCCTAGTACCAAGCATCTTCATGACCAAACCAGCTCCCTCGCTGACTCCCCTATATCACCCACTCTACAGGCTCCAGATCTCAGCACCAGCTCTGACAAGTCTCTCTCTCCCCACTGCATAATGTTCATCACCACGCCATAGCATCTTTTCCTGTGCAAAGCCCACCCCGCAACGCAGCCTGGAGGCCCTAGTACTGCTAAGCAAGTGGTTCACCCTGTTCACATCCATGTCTTTCTTCCATTTTGGCCCTAAGTTCTCTTCTAAGCAACTCTCATGCTCAGGTGTCATACGCTCCTGCCTGGACCAAGATAGCCACCTCCTCCTCAGTCTTCTTGCTTCAGGCTCTTCCTCTAATCCTACCTGTACACTGCTGTCAGAGTCACCTTTTTGAAGCTCTGCTTTCATTACCCCACTCCTGTGCTTAACAATACTCAGTGACTCCTCACTACTTACATATAAAGTCTGAACACTTAAGCTGAACATGGGAAACCCTGCACAGCCTAACTATACCCTAATTTTTGACTTTTTCTGCTCGCTCTCCAACTAGATTCCTCTCTCCCAATAAGGCTGTCCTCTGGATAAACCTGCCAGGCACAATCCCACCTCCACACTTTTGCTCATGCTGTTCCCACCACCTGTAATGTCCTCATGACTCCTCCCCCTGCCTATCCTTAAGGTCCAGCTCACATCTCCCCCTCTACTAAGCCAGCCCAGATCCACCAAAGCCATAGACTTCTCTCCCAAGTGCCTTCACCTCTAACTGTACATACATGACACTTGATTCTTATCTTTGATGGCCTGGAATTACCAGTGACCTCGGGGTGGGAACCCACTTTCTTAAGATATGATTAATTTCTTCGAAGAAGACAGAGTAACAACACCTTCATTTCTTCACCCTTACCAGTACCCAACACACTATTTCCCACAATACTTAATTATACTTTACTTCAACTTGATTTTCAATTCAACAGATATTTTAAAAACATGTAGATTGTACCACACCCTGTGCTAACTCCTGGAAGCCCAGAAAGCTCATGGCCTGGAAGAAGAGATGGCACATAGACAGACAGTCATTTGTAGTGAAATGCTGAGACGGATCTATCCACGGTGCTGCAGAAACACTAGAGGTGACTTGGAGCTGGGCAGGAGCACCCCTCAATGCCAGAGACCTCATGCTGGGGGTGCTAAGCATGGGTGGAGGATCCCTGCTCTCAAGGATCTTCTGTCTGGTGCTTTGGATATAGCCAGAACTCAACAGATGCTTGTGGAATCTCAAGTTAAGTAGAACTTTCTGATTGTCTTTTCTGAGGGATTCTCTGCCTGCTATTTCCACTCCCCATTAGGAGATAATAAAGAGCTGACAGTGAATTACAGGCAGACGAGCACTGGCGGGCTCTTTCGAGCTGGATGCCAGATGGGTTAAGTGACTTGCCAAGGTCACTCTCTATTACGAGGCCGGGCTAAGAAACGTCTTGAGGCTTGGGTCTTTGGAAAGAAAGTGGAGAGAAAACAGGTCATGCTGGGTACGAGCTTGGCCTCTGGACTCAAACAGTCCTGGATGTGAGTGGCAGCTCTGATGCTTGCTAGCTGGGTCACAGTGAACAGGGCACGTCACCGCTTGGAGCCTCAGTTTCGTCATTGCTATTTTATCACTCCATAGAGTTGTTGTGAGGTTTACATAAAATTAAATGAGATGACACCTGCACCACTTGGTTCAAGGTGGGTAAATGGTAGTCTTTATTTTACTAACTAATCCAGAAATACCCCTCTTCGGCCACTGGAGTACTACTCAAGGCTGTGTCTGTCCCCAGGTCTGACTAAGGATGAAGCAGGATCTGGGAAGTGGTCAGTGCCCTATGTGGCTCTCATCTCCTCCCCTCCACTCCCTGCACTTGCACAGGCCCTACCTGTCACCAACTATAGCCCAGTAGCTCCCTTTGGGCATGTATTCCATACACCTTCATATAGCCACGTGAGGACCCATCTATCTTCCTCATGGATACAGAGACTGCTAAGACCAGGGACTGGGTTTTATGCAGCCACTTATCACTCAGCTCTCAGCATGGATGAGGCCCAAAGGAAAGGTTCACAGTGTGTTTGCTGGGTTTGTTAGGCCATATGTGCTAAGTGTATGCTTCGGGCTCCTACAAAAGACACTTGGAATTGAGATACAAGTGATAACCCCTTGTCAGCAAGAGTTTTCTGGAGGAGGGGCCCCAGCTTGCACTTGGGAGCTTGGGCAGGGTTGGGTCAAGCAGGTCAGACCCAGAAAATTCATGGTGGGAGAATGGTGGTGTTAATCCAGCTGGGCAGAGCATGTCGGCAGGTGCCTCTAATCAGAGAGTCCAGCCTTCAGCCGGCAGCTCAGAGCCTCAGGCCCCAGCGTCCATTTCTTCCCTCTGCCCTGGGAGGATGAGACAAGAAGTCCATGCTCACTTCTGCAAGCCCAGCCTTGGCTGGGGTCAGTGGTCAAGTGGACAGGGGCTAATGGCCGTCTGCAGGGCCAGATTAATGCATGTGAGGGCCCTAAGTACTGATAATCTGTGGTGCCCCTTCCTCTGCTTGCTCACACATTCAAACGTGATATGGGAGTTATATAAATAGTATACTCCCAAGAGACCTGCCGAGATAAGGAGTTTCAGTTACACGGGAGGGAACTATAGGACACAGATATCAACGAAGGTGTTGAAGTGGTAGGGGCCTTATAGCTTAAACAACCTTGTGCGTGGGCACCCTCGTAACCCTGGGTGAACTTTATTTCCAGCCAGCACATTCTCACGCACTGGAGCTGGTATCAATTTCATTTAGTGCCCTGCCACTTCCCTTCCATTGCAGTGCTCACTTTTCCTTGTGTCCTGTCTGCTTGGCATCTATGGGTCTTTGCTTTGGACAACTGGTGCCCCGTCTTGTCGATGCCCTAAGCATGTGCTTACCTTGCTTATTGGGTAATCCGTCCCTGGCTGTATGTGAGAACAGACGGATGTGTACAGATGTCTTCGTGTGTGAGTGTACATAGAGATGAGTATGTGGGGCTGTTGTGGTGCAGAGGTGAGGATGATAATAAGAAGAGGTAACCTTTAGTGAGCACTCGCTGTCTCCAGGTGCTTGCATAATTATGTCATTGAATCCCCACAGTCACACTATGACCTGGGCACGGTTATTATCCCAACAAGCAGTAGAGGTAAGATTTAACCCAGGCGGCTTGGCCCCAGCATGTACACACTGACACTAGGCTGTCCTGTAAGCTCCACCTGTGAGTGTGCAAGCATGAGAGTGGGCATGTCTGCTGCAGATGGGAATGTGTGTGCGTAAGAGGGCAGGCCGAGTGTGAGTGTGGCTATGGATATGCGAGGGCAGGTGGCCGTGCCAATGCTAAGGTGGGTGCTAAGTGCAGCTTGAGTACACATGCTGCTGAGGGTGAAGGTGTGAGTGTGGAGGAAGGTGGGAGGTAAGTGTGAGTTAGGCTGGGGGCTGAGTGAGTTGTGTGGACTGGTGTGCATGGGGTGTGAGTCTGAGCACAGGAGTGAGGGGTAGTGTGACTGGATAAAGAAGTGGAGGGGCACAGTCTTTTCCCCAGGTCACAGCTGTACTGGGCAAGCAGACAAGGGCCTGATCCTGGGGCTCTGCCTCCTCGTCTCCTTCCCCAGCCCCGCCAGGCCTGGCCACTCACCTGTACTGTCGTCATAGACCACGGTGGCCGACCGCCACTTGAGGTACTGGACCAGGTCGAGGATGGCGTGGCTGAGGGAGGCGTAGTCGGGGTAGAGGTTCACGTAGAAGGTGTCCTTATTGTCCAGCGGGTGGTGCTTCCAGCGCAGTTGGATGTGGGGCACCTCCAGGGCATTGCAGATGGACTGGACAGCATTGGTGCAGGAGCCCTGCGATGGCCCGAAGATCGCCACCACGCCCAGGGCCAGCTGGTCACAGGCTGCAACAGAGGGAAGGGTAGCACAGGGGTCAGCTCTGGGCCTGATCAGGCAGCTGCAGGACTGGGTGTGGTGGGGTGGGAGCAGAGATTTTGCTGATCCTGTTGTAGATACATTTCCAATAGGTGGGAAAAACAGCAACTGGAAACTGCTGAGGCTGCAATCCCTCTGAGTCTCGGTTTCCTCATCTGAAAAATGGGGATTCTAATATGTCTCTCTCACCCTTCCTCCTACTTCCAAAAACTAGCCAATGAAAACCTTACGGATCATACACAATAGAATACTGTCCCATAAAGTGCTGGAAGATGGAACACACTACACAGTAGCTGCAACAATGGAAACATGTCTTTGTATGTGCACACGTATCAGCTCGCAGATCTGTGCACATGTGCGCATGCATGTCCACATGTCTTTGTCAGAGTGTCCTTAGGACCAGGCAACGTTTCATTGTGTTACACATAAGGTCACCATGAGTTGGAGCCAACTTGAGGACAACTAACAATAATAGTCCCCACCTTATACGATTGGAGGAAGGTCAAAGGAGATAAAGCATGTGAGACCCTCAGCACAGTGCCTGGTCTAAAGAAGCACTGTGACATAGAAATGATTACTATTTTTGATGTTATCATCGTCATGATGAGCATCATCAGCTCTGTACCAGGCCCCGTTTGGGGTGGGAACTGGAGAAACAAAGAGGAGTCAAACTTCTACTCGCTGATGACTCTTAAATCTTCAGCGCTGACCTGCTCCCTAAAATCCATCTGGTACATCTTACCTGTCACCCAGCACCAACCATGGGGATGTCTAAAACACTTCTCAGACCTAAGGTGCCCAAAACATAACCCCATCTTCTTCTCCCAGCCTTTTCCAACTCCGAAAGCAGCAACTCCATTGCTCCAGTGCCTCACGCTAGAAACCGTGGTTGTTTCCTTAACTCCTCTTGTTCTCTCACATCCCACATCCCAATCCATAAGCAACTCCTGTTCTTTACCTTCTAAATGTGTCAGAACATGACCACTTCTCACCACCACCCCCACCATCACCCTGGTTCAAGCCCCCATCACCTTTCATCTGAATGACTGCAGAAGCATCTGCACTGGTTTTCCCGCTTGCTTGGTTATCCTCCCGACTGTCTATTCTGTACTCAGCAGCCAGAGTGAGCCTTTAGAATGTAAGAGAGATTATGCCACTCCTTTGCTCAAAATCCTCCAAAGGATCCGTCTCACCCAGTGTAAAAGCCAAGGTCCTTACAACGGACTGTACTCTCACTGCCCGTTCATGCTCTTCTTCTGCTGAATGGGTGTGTTGAGTGTCTGCCCCTACCACTTTGTCCACCTTAAGAGTAGGTGCTGAGGGAAGAGTCCACATGTGAGTCACTCTGTACCCATGGTGGCAGGATACCAACATGGAGGTGATGGTGACAGTGTGTGAGCAACAGTCACCCAGGCCTGGTCACTCTCCCCTCTCCAAGCCTGAAGACAGGGGCACCCTATAAAATCTTCTGTAGGTTTCTCTCAGGCTCTACAATCCACCTCTGTTATGAACCTTCTGCTGTCCCACCTCCTGTCTCTCCTCTCTCTCTTTTTTTCCTAGGGCCTTCAGAATGATGACTTGGTTGATCTACTAGTGTGTCTCATTCCTCCCCATCACCACCCCCAAGATCTGCCTCTTGGATTTCCACTTTTGATCTATGCCTTGAAGCAGGCAGGCAAATGACACCCTGCCACTCCTACCCTCACCCAGCCCAACCTCTTAGGTCTTGTCCCCCAGCCCAGGTCCATGGTCTGGGTATCCTACTTCACTGAGGTCAGGGAAAAGTGAACAAAACACAAATTATGATGATGCAGAGGATTCAGAGCCCTGGTGGTACAGTGGTTAAGAGCTCGGCTGCTCACCAAAAGGTTGTCAGTTTGAATCTACCAGCTGCTTCTTGGAAACCCTATGGGCCAGTTATACTCTGTCCCATAGGGTCACTATGAGTACAAATCGACTTGACAGCAACGGGTTTTTGTTGTTATTGTTACAGGATTTGTAAAAGTGATCTTAAAGGAAGTGATAATGATTCTGACATTGATTGTGAGGATAATGATAAAGGTCCAACTGTAATGACAGTTGCGATGGTGAAGACCACACTGTGATACTGTTAATGACAGTGGTGATGGCACTGATGAGGGTGGAACTGATGATAATGTTAATGGTGTGACAATGATAATGTTAATGGTGTGACAGTAATGGCGGTATGGTGCTGGTGATTTTGGCATTGATGAAACTGGGGGTGATGCAGATGTTGATGTCATGACAGTGACGGTGATGATGATGATGAAACTAGGGATGGTTATGGTGGCGTTGATGTTGCTAGCTCTGGAGGTGATACCTATGTTTATGGTGATGACCGTAATGGTGGGACAGTGGTGGTGATGTTGGTGCTGATGAGATTGGTGATGATGAAGATGTTGACGTCATGACAATAATGGTGATGATGATAGTAGAGATGGTGTTGGTGGTGTTGATGTTACTAGGAGTTGACAGTCATTGTGATGGTGTGTTGGTGTTGATGGCGGTGACAGTGGTGATATGATGATGATGGGTTTCATCCCGTCAGAGACGCAGTGATTAGACCTCACCACTGAATCGGACCATTCTGAATCAATAATCACATGGTGCACTATGCCAGGAATGACAAATTGAAGAGGAATGGCGTTGCATTCATTGTCAAAAAGAACATTTCAAGATCTATCCTGAAGTACAATGCTGTCAGTGATAGGATAATATCCATACATGTACAGAGATGACCAGACATGTTATCAGGAGGGATCAGTTCCTGGAGAAAGATATCATGCTTGGTAAAGCACAGGGTCAGTGAAAAAGAGGAAGACCCTCAACGTGATGGACTGACACAGTGGCTGCAACAACGGGCTCAAGCATAACAACGATTGTGAGCATGGCACAGGACTGAGCAGTGTTTCGTTCTGTTGTACACAGGGTCACTATGAGTCAGAACTGACTCGACGGCACCTAACATGAACAACAACAACACTGTGTGACGGGAGCCATCAATCCTGCCCTTCACCTATTTCTTCTCCTTGGCCTCTTTCCATATCCCTTTTCCTGTCCCCTCCATGTTCCTTCCACTTTCTGAGGCTCTTCTAGACTGGAAGAACTCTGCTGCCCCAAAGAGACCATCGTGGGGGCTATAGCAGCTGCAGCAGTAGCAGCGGCTTCATCTCCAGATGTTTCCAGGACAGCAGCCCAGCCCTTGTTCTGGCAGCCTTGAGCATACACTGCAGTAATTACGTTATTTGTGGCTTCAATTTTGAATCCATTTTCTGGTCATTTTACAGTAACTCAGTGGTTCACAGTCATTGCAGGAGTCCACAGCCTGAGTGCAGTCTCCCCCCTCCACTTTCCATGGCAATTGTAGTTATAGCAAAAATTATCCCAATCAATTTGTGTCTTAAAAGGAATTGAGCAGCCCAGAGAATAAGTGAAGGCAGAGGAGCCTGGGGAGTGCTGGGTCGATTCCAGACCCACTCCCTTCAGGCTTGGAAGAAAACACAGACGCTCTCTGGGCTGCTGGCTCAGGCACCGCCTGGCAGCCACTCATATTTTAATTTTCCACAAAACATTTAAAAATAAAGACAATAAGTGAAAGTCCCTTTTAATGGGGAAAGGCCTCCTGCACCTCATGTGGAGGGAAGGGCTAATCCAACCAGAGCTGGCAGGGCAGGTGGTGCCAGTCTCGAGCCTCTGCACCTGCTCACCCCACATGGCCAGAGGGGTGGCTGGAGAAGCCAGCTGGTTGGGAGGGAGCAGTGATGGGAAGCTCTGCCTAGGGAAACTGAACCGTCATTGGATTAATTAGAATAAGACCCACGACCACTTCCCTGGAGAGTCCTAAAGATTCCTCCAAGGAATGCAGTTTAGAATACATACACAGACACACACGCACACACACACACAAGATCATGGGAACATGACGTTCTCCAAGGGATGGTGAGAGTCATCGGTGCCCAGTAGGGAGTGTGACCCAACAGCAGAAATGCCTCCTGGGTCAGACAGTGGTGCTTCCAAGCACAGCAGGCTCTGTCTCAGAGCACACACTGGGGAAGAGTGATGGCACAGAGGAGCCCCTTAAGCTTCTTTTTTTAACTGAGGTATAACCAATTCCACCCTCCATCTGTCAGTCTTTTCATACTATGGTGGCTCACATGTTGCTGTGATGCTGGAAGCTATGCCACTGGTAATTCAAATATCAGCAGGGTCACCAATAGTGGACAGGTTTCAGCAGAGCTTCCAGACAAAGAAAGACTAGGACGAAAGGTCTGGCTATCTACTTCCAAAAATTTGCCAATGAAAACCTTATTGATCACAATACAGCACTGTCCAGTTCGCTTGCTTTGGGCTTGTAATCAGGAGGGATCAATCACTAGAGAAGGACATGATGTTCAGCAAAAGCAGAGGGTCAACAAGGGCATGAGAGACCCTCCGTGTGATGGACTGGCACAACAGCCGCAACGATGGACTTGAACATGCGGACGATTGTGAGGATGAGGCAGGACCAGGCAAGATTTCATTCTGTTGTACATAAGGTCACCATAGGTCAGAGTCAACTCGATGGCAGCTAAGAACAACAACATAATACCATACAATAAAGTATGCTAATCTTAAGTCTGTAACTTTTAAGAATTTTTACACATAACTGTTTTCATGCAACCACTACCTGGATCAAGATATAGAACGTTTCTAACACCTAAGAAGGCTCTCTCTTGCCCCTTTCCAGTCAATAGCCACTGCACACTACCCCCTCCCCCAGTCACTATGCCTATGAGATCCAACCATGTTGTTGTGAAGCAGAAGTTTGTTCTTTTTTTATTATTGATTAGAATTCCATTGTATATGTCAATCTATCTATTCTTCTGTGGATGGACCCTTAATTTAGCTCCAAGTGTCGGCTATTATCAATAAAGTGGCTAGGGACATTCTCACAGGAACATGTGTAGCT